CCTCAGGCCTGGCTAGCAGCCTGAAGTGTCTGCTGATCCCCCTGCCTCTCTCTCTCTCCGAGAGGTCAGAAGTTCAGCTCATTCGAGACTGCTGTATGCAGCCTGGCATTCTGTCGTCCCTTCAGTTGTTTTGGACATTATGGACCCTGGCTCTTTATATATATATATTAGAGGCACGTTGCAGGAAGGTTCCTGCAAGAATAGGGCTTCCTGTGGCTGGAGTGAAGCAGAGAAGGGAGAAAAACCTGCTGAGGCGGGATTCTTTCCTGCTCCACCACAGGGCTAGTTTCCCTCCTGCTCCTGGTTTCCCTCCTGCTCTGCCTTCCAGCTGGTTAGTTATGCAAATTAACCTCCATCTTGGTTGGGATAATTTGCATAGAGTTGCTCTGATTGGCTGGTGGGTGTGGCGAAGTAATGGTCAACTACCATATTTGTCTTTTATTAGTGTAGGTATAGATACTTTATATTGACAGAAACCTTAAGAGGAGTTTGAAGAGGATAGCAATGAAAATAATGAATTTTTGAATTAACATAAACTTAAAACATGTAGAAATTTAGACATGAAGATTTAAAGTAAATGGTAGACATGAACTTAAATGATGAATTACTTTTCCTATGTTAATGCCTCAAAGGCATCAAAATTGGGAGCACATTTACATTTATGCAATAAGAAATTCTCTACCCACTAAAGTGGCTATCTCCAAACTCGTTATAATTTTTTTTTAATATTACTTAAGGGGCGATTACAACTCATAATGCCTTTACCCAGGAGAGGCTAAATTGATGAATTTAGACACTTGATCTCAGTTTCCTGAAGAAAATTTCATTGGATAAATGTGTATGCACTTTAGTGCTAGTGTAAAATTACTATCTGAGAGATTTAAAACAAACACATTCATGCCCTTACAGTTCTTGAGGTCAGAAACAGGAAATGGGTCAGGGGGCTAATACCAAGATGTTTGCAGGGCTACATTTCTCCTGGAGGCTACAGGGAAGAGTCTATTTACTTTCCCATTCCAAGCTTAGATGAGAGTGTAAAATAATCTAAAAAAGTTTCTTATAACTAACAAATATTTCACAGGGAGGGACTAAATGACAGCTCTTAACTTGTGATATAAGATGAAATGCCAAATTCTTTTGGCTAACGTGTCATGAAGCCCATTGTGTAACATTCAAAGATTATATCAAAGATGGGAGCACATTTACATTTATGCAATAAGAAATTCTCTACCCACTAAAGTGGCTATCTCCAAACTCATTATAATTTTTTTATTTTACTTAAGGGGCGATTACAACTCATAATGCCTTTTCCCAGGGGAGGCTAAATGAATGAATTTAGACACTTGATCTCAGTTTCCTGAAGAAAATTTCATTGGATAAATGTGTATGCACTTTAATGCT